ACCGAGCTATGTATTAAATTGGGGAATACAGTTATAGCGACCACTAAAATCGTTAAAGATTAGTTTCAAACATAAAAATCTCTTGAGTAAAAGGGACAGTAGCTCATCAAAGAGCATTGCCATGCAATCCTTACTAATTTGTGAGACTAACAGATGTTTTTCTTTTGATTAAATATAATTGCCAAAAATCTAAAAACCACTGGACAACAGAGACATCTGAAAAAAAAAAACCAACACATCATCCAAATAAAATGTCCCCCTCAAACAGAAAAAATTGGCCTAACAATCACTTATTATAGTCGTACTTATAGTCATGTTAGGTACATTTTCAAGGTGAAACAAAAAGACATTTTCTTTTTCTTTTAAAGACAGATTCCTCTGTGTTGCTCTGGCTTTCCTGGAACTCACTTTGTAGAATAGGTTGGCCTCTAACTCAGTGAGATATATCTGCCTCTGCTCTGTGAAAGTGCTGGGATTGAACGCATGCATCATCACAGCCTGGCAAAAATTTAATTTAAATAGACAGGTGGTGTCGTTTCTTCATTTTAAATGTTACCCGCTTTACCCTTTCTGTTTACTCAGGTAATATTATCTCCTTCTGAGTTCTCTGATGGAGCTAAAGACTCGATCGTTGTAATTATGCATGTTACCAAATTGAAAAAAAAAGAACTCAAAAAAACGTACCAGCGTCTGATTGCAATAAGAAAGGAATCCGAGAGAGCAATCTGTATCCAGCAGAGGGCACTCTTTCTCTCACAAGTTAAAAGGGATGCATTTGCCTTGCTGCACATCCTTCCAACTTCTGTCTTGTATCTCCTTCAACAGCACATTTTCTGTATTTTGTTCAAACATATCTTCCAGAGCAAGACGACAATGAAATTCGATAAAGGAGAAACTTGAAAGGAGGAAGCAGTAGACCTGGATTCACTGCTCTCTGCCAAAGGGCTACCCTGGGTACATTAGTCTCTCTAATCAAAATCATTTTTTTTATTATGACAAATTTTGTCTGGCCTTAGTGCATTTACCACAGTGTATTCTGTGCTAACCTTTGTCCAGGGTAATTACCCAGCCGGGAAGCCATTGTTAAATGTTTACTTTTGGACACCTGCGGGATGTCTGCTCTGAAGGCAGAAAGCCATTGTGAGAAGGTAACAGTTGCTGTCAGCTTCAATTTTCCCAAAATATGTTTAGGCTTACAATTTTACATGTTGGACTCTTCACTTCAGAACTTTCCCTACAGGTAGAGTAAATATGATTTTAACTGTTACATAAAAATAGAAGGAAGGTATATTTGTGGGGTACTATTCAATACATATATACATTGTATAAAGTTGAAATCAGGTTAAATATACATGTCTAGTTAACATGGATGACCTCTTTTGCATTTAAGTATTTACTTTTCTCAGTCTTTTTTTCATAATAAATGCTTTTAAGTCTACTTGTTTCTCGGGAATATTTTTTTCTGTGTTCCCTATATTTTTGTATTTAGCTCCTTTACTGTTCATTTTGATAGTTTATAATTTGTATTTTATTAACATATCATAAAATGCTTTCAGTAATTCTTATTATGAAATATTTTAAACAGCACCAATAAAAAAATAATAGTGAACCCTGTGTAAAAAAAAAAAATGAAGCAAACTTGATTTCAATGTGCTTAGACTGCTTTATTGGAACAGTGAGGGAGCCGAATCTTTCTATGGGATGAAAGTTGAGGAACTTTACAGGGGCTGGGACACCTATGAGAAAATTGTAGCTAATTGTGTGTGTGTGTGTGTGTGTGTGTGTGTGTGTGTGTGTGTGGTTTTACTTGGATCAATGTGAATTGTTTAGTTTTGATACCTGAGCATATTGTTTTTGCTAGTAGAACTAGAATGGTCAGGCTGCAATTTTTTATGGCTAGAAGCTGTTGTTCAGTACACGCTGACTTAATTCCTCCTTACTTGATACTATCACCCAACGCTAACATTCTCTCAGATAACGAAAGTTACCAAGTTTCTTTTTTTTAATTTTTTTAATTTATTAAAAATTTTATTAAAAATTTCCGCCTCCTCCCCTTTCCTTCCCCCAGTTACCAAGTTTCTTTCAACTATTTGTTTTCTTTGTCGTTGTTAAATTATCTTCAGGAGGGGTGGGCAACAATTCAGAGTCTAAGAGCACGTGCTCTATAAGTTAGAGGGCCTGAATCTGAATCTACAGCTCTCAGATGAAAATGTGGGTGTGAATGCACCTGCCTGGTACAGTGTGGTGGGCAGAGACAGGAAAACCCAGAAAACTTGGTGCCCAGGAAACCCAGCAGAAATGGTGAACTTCCAGTTCAGTAAAAGACCTTATAGCAAGTCAGTAAGGTCAAGAGTGATGGAAGAGAACGTCTTTATGTCTTTTTATGGCCTATGTGTGAACACACACACACACAGGGTTTTTTGTTTTTTTTGTTTTTGTTTTTTTTTTTTCGAGACAGGGTTTCTCTGTGGTTTTGGAGCCTGTCCTGGAACTAGCTCTTGTAGACCAGGCTGGTCTCGAACTCACAGAGATCCGCCTGCCTCTGCCTCCCGAGTGCTGGGATTAAAGGGCGTGCGCCACCACCTCCCGACTCACACACAGGGTTTTTAAGAAACAGTTGTAAAAGACTTTCTCTCCTGTATGTTCTTGTCCTTAAACAGTGAAGACACTATTTTCTGCAAAATACAAGAATATTAGTCATTGTAATTATCACATCTAATAGACTTTCAGACTATTTTACCAAGACTGTGATTGACTTATCTTATTCAAATTTGAATTAAATGCATGCCAGGCAAACACACTAATAGCTGTGCTGCATTTCAGCCTCTCGGATTTCAGACCTATTTCACTAGGTCATTTGTGTGTTTGAGGGGAAGGAGCTATTCAGATTTGAGAACAACCTGCAAGAATTTCTCATCTCCTTTTCTAGATGAGCTTCTGGGTTCAAACTCTAGTTGCCATGCTTGCTGAGCATTTCCTGTAGACTTCCCTTTCTTTACATTTTCTCCCCCTCTAGACAGGGTTTCTCTGTGTAACAGCTGTGGCTATTCTGAAACACACTTTGTAGATCATGCTGTCTGCCTCTGACTCCCAAGGGCTGGTATTAAAGGCATGTGCCACTACCACCTAGCTGATTTACTCTTGTTTAGCTACTGAAGCTTGGAATTGTTCTATTTTTAGTTTCTGACTCTTTGATATTAATCTGAGAAACTGCTAACCGTTTTGTTGCTATTGTCATTGTTTTTCTTTTGAGATATTGCCTCACTGGGAATCTCTGGCTGACTTGGAATTGGTATAAGACAAAGCTGATCTTGAAGACGTAATCTTTGATCATTATGCTGTGCAGGCACTGTATTATATACCCAAAGCACAATTTAAAAAGTGACCATATATTCGAGGCCAGCCTGGTCTACAAGAGCTAGTTCCAGGACAGGCACCAAAAACTACAGAGAAACCCTGTCTCGAAAATCAAAAAAAAAAAAAAAAAAAAAAAAAGAAGTGACCATATAAATAATGAGTAAAATCTGTAGATAATAGTATGGCCAGTGTTGCCTCTTGACCAAATCATATCCATATGGGTAACTTACAATTCCTATGTTCATGGGAATTATTTATGTAAGATAAAGAAGAGTCCAATGAAACCTGTTTTTAAAAGATACTGGAAATGAATTTGGAAGGATATTATATGACATTACAGAAATATCTATTTGTTTTTATTATGATGAATAATCAGAAGTTTAGTTGTGATAAAGGAAATTATAAGAATTATCTAGGCAGGGACTGGGCGGGGGTGGGGGCAGGGACACGGGGTGGCCGGAGCCCAGCGGGAACCAGATGCGGCTTGGGGCCAAGAGCGTGGCTTCGGGGGACCGATCTTTCCGCTTTAGTTACTTTTTATTTGTCTCATCTTTCAGACTTTGCACTTGACTATGCCCCGCAGCCAGCAAGCCTTCAGTATCCTCGCACAATGCCACTTCCTGCAGACAGCAAGGGCGCACGCTTCCAGACTGGAAGCAAGCGGAGCGATGAGCCGCTGTTCGTTGATCGTTTCAGAGAGATTTGGGAACAGAGGCGCAGGCTTCGGAAGTAGATCTCGCTCCCACTCCCAAGCCCCCCCCCCGCCCCCCAAAAGTGACGCTTCTTGGAGATGGCACACGCTTTGTGGTGAACCCCCAGATTTTCACTGCTCATCCCGAATGTTTGGACCAGGAAGAGAATATAACTTCTCAAGGGCCAAGGAAAAGAGGGAGTAGGAGGTTGCAGAAGGGTTCAGTGCCTTCCCCACAGTACTGGATTATTACAAAACTGACATCAGCAACTGTCCGGAAGGCATCTCTATTCCCAGATCTGAGAGACACGTGTGACTATCTCCGCATTAACTTTGACTTCAACACTATCCGCTGTCAAGATCTGAGGGCTTTACTCCATGAGCTGCCCAACGACGGTGCTCACAGGCAGTTTGATCACCACCTCGAGGAACTGATTCTGCCCATCACGGTGGGCTGTGCCAAGAAAGGGGAGCGAAAGTGCCACATTGTCGTGCTGACAGATGAGGATTCTGTGGACTGGGATGAAGACACCCCCTCCCCCCACTCATGGAGGAAGAGTATTCCCAAATTCTTTACAGCTCCAAGCTCTACAGATTCTTTCAGTACATTGAGAACCGAGATGTTGCTAAAACAGTGCTAAAGGACCGGAGCCTGAAGAACATTCGCATTGAAATTGAAGGGTATCCTACTTGTAAAGAAAAGATTAAGAGGAGACCTCGAGGGAGGTCTGAGGTGCAGCGCCCCTTTATCCAGATGTCCTGGGAAAAGGAGGAAGGGAAGAGTCGCCATGTGGCTTTTCAGTGTCTTCGCAGCAAGTCCCTTACCAATCTGGTGGCTGCCGGAGAGGACGGCTTGGAAGACCAGGAGCTAATAATGCATCATCCCCCGCAGGTGGAGGAACTTGACTGGCTAAATGCTCCACTCTCTCAGGCGGCTTCTAATGACTTCCAAGATGAGGGACTGCCCCTCTCCAGAGGGTCCGCCCCTTGCCAGAGCGCTTCTTCTCTGTGGGCGCCCCCAACCTGGCCTCCTGGTTTCTCACCCCACTCCTCCTATCTGTTTCCATCCCCTCTCCGTCACTATTGTGCCCCTTCTCAGTCTGTCTCTGGCCGTGTGAAGAGCTTTCTGGTAATCAGACGACCAGTTTAGCCGGCCCTGGTAAACAGACGTTGGGTCTCTTGCTGTTGGTTGAGTCTTGTCCAACTGCGGGAGAGGAAGTGGACTCCTGTCGCCTCACGGTTGACACAAGAAGCCCACATCTTTACACCCAGTGGGTGGGTTTTTTGCCTCCGACAAATTGCTTAACAGCAAAAGGACTAAAGGCCAGAGACAGTCTGTGTGCTAAGGCAAGTGTCCTCTGCCGAGGAGGTGTGCCAGGGTGGATGAAAGGCAGTTCCTGGGTGCTGTAGCCACGTGCCATCCGGCTAGAATGTCTGAAAGGAGTCCCCGGAGCTCAGACTCAGCACTGCTCTTCATCAACACAGGAACAGTCCGACACAGGACACAGGTCTGCAGCAGGAGATCAGTGACCAGCCGTGTTAGTGCAGCCTTTGGCCTAGGGGAGTCAGAGCCCAAACTGACGCTTCGTTTGGGGAGAAAAAAAAACCTTTTAGGTGGCAGAATGGCTCCAGGCCGGGCCTGCGGACTGCACCCAGGGACAGCGTGGTGCTGTGGATATGGCAGGAGATGTGGTGCCTTGAAGGTGAGAAGAGATTTGCTTGGTACCTTCCTGTGAGCGCCAGGGAGGACTGCGCTGAGCTCAATAGAATCATCAGCTGTGCAGACCCTGCCCGCGTTCTCGCACCAATATATTCACCTTTCTTTCTTTCTTTCTTTCTCTCTCTCTCTTCTTTCCTTCCTTTTTCTTTCTTCCTTCCTTTCTTTTTTCTTTCTTCCCTCCTTCCTTTCTTTTTTCTTTCTTTCTTCCTTTCTCCTTTTTTTCTTTCTTTCTCTTTCTCTCTTTTCCTTCCTTTTTTCTTCCCTCCTTTCTTTTTCTTTCTTTCTTCCTTCCTCTTTCTTTCTTTCTTTCTTTCCTTCTTCCTTCCTTCCTTTCTTTTTCTTTCTTTCTTTCTTTCCTTCTTCCTTCCTTCCTTTCTTTTTCTTTCTTTCTTCCCTTCTTCCTTTCTTTTTTCTTTCTTCTTACTTTCTTTTTTTAAATAGCCCATTAGCTGCTCAAACATGGTGAGAAAATGATACTACTGTCCTCCCCAGGGTCAGGTCCAGGCCTTGCCTGTTGGTTTGATCTGTTCACTCTTACATGTGTGGTATATGGCAGTCCATATCACTCCTCAGCTTCTTCCTCTGACATTTCCTCGGTTGTGTGCAGAGTCAAGCCAGACAGCAGTATCTGGGATTACCTTACTTTGTGGTAGAAGTTGACCTTTGAGTCGGTCCTCCACCCTGGACATTTTTCCATCATAAGTGCTACATGTAAGCTGTTTGCTTCAAGTTCCTTAAAGAACATGGTTAGTGGCCGGGCGGTGGTGGCGCACGCCTTTAATCCCAGCACTCGGGAGGCAGAGGCAGGCGGATCTCTGTGAGTTCGAGACCAGCCTGGTCTACAAGAGCTAGTTCCAGGACAGGCTCCAAAGCCACAGAGAAACCCTGTCTCAAAAAACCAAAAAAAAAAAAAAAAAAAGAACATGGTTAGTTCCTTGAAGTCTGTCTGTTTCCATTAAGTACTGTATAGTATACTACTTGATGGCGGTAAATTCAGGTTTGGGAAATCCCTCTTTCCAGAACTGAAGAACAAGAATGTTCTTAAAAGGGTGTGTTCGTTTTGTGGCAGCATCACAGTCAGAGTTGGTGTGAGATCTTTCTTGCTCAGAAAAGGACTGAAGGGCAACTAAGCAGCCCTGGGTTTTGTGGTGACCGTTGGTGTCTTGGTGAGGCTCAAGGCCAGCATCCAGAATACAGGTTAAGGTTATCTGTCCAGAAGTTACATGTGGGAAGCTGATGGGCTTGTATTTGAGGTCAGGTCTGGCCTTGACTTCGTTGGTGCAACATGTTTGTCCACTCACAGTGACCAGTCCAGGCCCCTGTTCAATGGTGCTTGCTTTGTGCTAACTGATGGCCACTGGAGTATGACTGTTTGCTTGTGTGGTGTTGAGGTGTGACCAGTCCTTTCTTCGTCCTTTGGAGTTGCTTCACTGCCTTCAGCCTTTGATGAACTAGGTCTTTGATGAACTACCCCATTCCCCAAATAAGTTACCATGCTGTGGCTGCAACTCATGGGATTTGAGTAGGAAGCGGTCTGAAGGCTGGCCAGTGCCTTGGGACGTTGGTGACTAAAGGAAAGCCTGGGAGAGAGGCCTTGGGGAGAGGAGGCTCCTTTTGCACCCTCAGCCCCACCCTTCCCTAAATTTCAATGTCATTTGTAGTTAGTTGTCTCCCGTCAGCCTTGCCTGCTGTTCCAAAGTTGGGACATTCTTTAGTGCTCCCTGCAGGACTAAGGACTGAGTTACTGTCTTTGGAATTGGTTATTGGCTTTATGAGTGAGAGGACTGTACCAATAAAAAAAAATGGATTTTGAGCTCATGTGTCTCTTGCAAGTGCCTGAATAAGCAGGCCGGGTTGTGTGCACAGAAACAGCTTCATGAGAAAAATGACTTTACCTAGAGTCTCAGAGCATCTTAGCAAGATTACCTACACCCAAGCCTTGACTGTTCAGTGTCCTTGTATGCTGTGTAATTGATGATAAACCCCAGCCAGTAAGGCCCTGGAGAACAGAGACATAGCATTACTTGGTGGAGAAAGGTGACGGCAAAAGTTGAAGATTGAAGTGACTGGGTACAGTAGCGAAAGTTACTTTACCCAGCCCCTTGGGAAAGCGAACAGGCCTGAGGATAGCTGTGGGGGCAGCACAGGAAGAGGGGCATCCTCAGAGTCAGGGTGTGCGTCTTCGGGAGAATGAATGTTCAGAGCACAGACTTCAGCTCAAACTGTGTGCTTGAGTTTGAGCTGGGCGATTTCTGAGATGGACGCAGGGAGCACAGTGCACAGCTGAGCACCGCCACCTCCCTAGGGGACAGAGCCACTTTTGTGTCTGGATGGGGTCATTTCTGGACAACTATTTTCTCCAAATGGCAAAATGCTTGTAGGTTTTGCCTCTTACTTTGTATTTACTTTTGAAGTTGCACTTGTTCGGCTACCAGTGTTTACGGTATCCTGTATGTGGGATGCTTCGTGTTTTTATTTGTAAAAGAAAGGAAGGAAGGAAGGAAGGAGAGAGAGAGAGAGAGAGAAAGAAAGAAGAAAGGAAGAATTGTCTAGGCAAAGAAATTCAAGAAGAATTGAGTGGATGGGGGAGAGAATTGTTTAATGAAAGGGGATCGAGGTTGGTTTTTTCACTGATGAAACATTGGAACTGAGGGAATGGGGAAAGACCCCTCATAAATAAAGTGTATAAGGAAGAATGAGCTCTAGTCTTAACTAAAGTGATTTAATATGGGTGGAGTGAAAAACACTGATGAAAAATCAAAGATCCATCTGCTCTTGTTGTGCTAGGAAAGTGAAGAACGGAGAGGCTGTATTTGGGGCCCTGTCCATTCCAGGCTGTCTGCTCATGCAGATGGGTTTAAGCGGTTGGGATGATCATATGTGAGTTCTGACTATAGTGGCACATAGGGGGACATGCGAGTGATGCAGATCTCCTTAGGTAAATGAACATCTAATCATATTCATCCTCTCAAGGGAAAGGAGTTTGGCGTTTTCATTCCCTGTTCTGATTACCCTGGGATTCCGAAGAGACCCTTCAGAATAAGGGCCCCGTTTTTCATGCAAGTATTCCTGAGTATTTCTGATCGTACTGTCTCAGTACTAAGGCATACTGCAGTCCTTCCCTTTGGGAGGTGCCACCGTGTCTTTATTCCAATACCTAGAGTGACTCATATGTCAGCAATGAAAAGATGATCCCATGTAGGAGCTGCTGCTGCTGCCATCATGATTTCTGCGCCGGGCAGAGAACCGAGTCTGTAACCGTCAGCTGATCTTCTCACATGTGGGAAGCTCATAAGCTGGCCTGCAGTCCAGGGTTTCAGCTTGCACCGAGCTGATGATTGAATTCTGATTGTCACTTAGGGTTTTCTGCTAACATTGGAAGAAAGGATCCACAGAAGAAGGACCTCCAGGAATTGGTTTTTCCCTTGCAGGAATCCAACAGGATCTACTGTATTATTATGGCAAAGATCTCTTAACTAAAACATGAAACCTTGATGTCAGTTGTCACTCCTTTTTGCTAGGTATGAAGCTTTTCAAATGGATTTCTAAAATCCATTGGACATTTAGGACACAGCACGTTTGTGTCACATAGCCCTTCACAGCTGTCCCTGCAAGCACCTATACCAGAGGGGTACATTTGTTATAATCAGTCAGACTCCATCAACACCATCCAGCACTAAAGTCTATGGTACACACTGTAGCTCGCTCTCAGGGCTGTAAGTCCTCTGGGATGGGATAAACATTGTAGCATGAATTCAGCATTACAGTATTACACAGAGTAGTTATAGTATCCTAAAGATTCCCTATGCTATTTGTCCTGCAGTCCCCACTTTTTCCCACTTAACCACTAGCCCTTTTGCTATCTGTAGTGTTGCCTCTTCAGACTGTCTGTTATGATTTGGATATCAAGTATTGACTGCAAAGACTCGTGCTGAAGGCTTGGTATACACTATTGAGTAGCTGGTTGTAGGAGGAGGCCGCTTGTTTGTTCCCAACTGTTCAGCCCCAAAATAATCACACAGAAACTATATTATTTAAATCACTGCTTAGCACATTAGCTCTAGCTTCTTATTGGCTAACTCTTACATCTGAATTTAACCCATTTCTAGTAATCTATGTATTGCAATGTGGCTGTGGCCTACCGGGTTAAGTTACTTTTATCATTGCCGCAACAAAGCACCTAACAAAAGCAACTTAATGGGAAGGGTTTCTTTTGGCTCACAGCTCAAGGGCACAGATGTTGGCAGACAATTCATGAAGGCAGAAGCTTGGGCTGCATCCAGGAAGTTAAAACAGATGAATCTTGATGATCAGCCTGCTGCCTCATTTTTATTCCGTTCGGGAATCAGCCTCTGAAATGATCCCATCCATACTGGGGTTAGCGTATGTAGACTTACCTCATTTAACCTGATCTAGAAACATCCTTCAAAGACTTGTCTCCTAGGTGATTCTAAATCCTAGCAAGCTAACAGTCAGGATTAACCACCACAGCAGACAGGCTCCTCTGCACGCTGTCTCTGATGTAAGACAAGTGAACCCTTTGTGAAGCTGCTGGCTCTGTTGATTGAGCAACTTGGAAACGTAAAGAATTATATTTTTATAATATATAGCCCTTGCCCAATGTCTAACAGGTCTTCTGGGAGGTTAATTTGATTTACATTTACAAAGTCCCTCAGAGGTGAGTTCTTTTTTTTTTAATTTATTTATTTATTAAGGATTTCTGCCTCCTCCCCGCCACCGCCTCCCATTTCCCTCCCCCTCCCCTGATCAAGTCCCCCTCCCTCATCTGCTCGAAGAGCAATCAGGGTTCCCTGACCTGTGGTAAGCCCAAGGACCGCCCACCTCTATCCAGGTCTAGTAAGGTGAGCATCCAAACTGCCTAGGCTCCCCCAAAGCCAGTACGTGCAGTAGGAACAAAAACCCACTGCCATTGTTCTTGAGTTCTCAGTATTCCTCATTGTCCGCTATGTTCAGCTAGTCCAG